TTGTGTAACAACAAATTGTTTTAATTAATAATTCATTTTTAACTGCTATTTTTATTAAGTTTTTAATTAATTCCTAAATATTAATTAATAAACTTAACTTTACATAAGCATATTCTTTGTATTTGTAATATAACTCTTGCAGACTCTTTTATTTAACATGTACAGCTGCATACTCCGCTTACTCTTTAAATTGCCGAACGCCTTTCTATGCGATTTTCATGAATTTATGTCGTGCTTGCAAGGCATTTTCTTGACCCTCTCACCCACTTGTACTTCAATTCTTACTACTTTAAACATATACGTGTGCATGTATACATATGTATGAATGGATTCGTTAGCATCAGTTTTCTCTGCTTCGCTTACTTTAACTGCAACAATATTTGATATTTTCTACCGTTTGGCTGAGTGCTCCTTGCTTCCACTCGTTTCTTTACACCGTTCGCTCAAATTAACATATTGCGCTTTTGCAATTTGCTGAACAAAAAATCAATTAACTTATTAATTGAGCAGCTGCTGTAGCTGTGTGCTCGCTGGTTATTTGCGGTTGTGTATGTGCGTGAGAGAGTGTGTACTTGAGTGTTCTTCCTTTACTGAAATTCGTATTCACCGCGTCACGCAGCGACACAAATTAAATATTTTCTGAAGTTGCCGCAAACTCAAGGCCAAAGGCAGCCATTTTTTCTCTTTAATGACAGGCCCCCATTTGTTTCCCCTTCCAAGCGATGTCTAAAGCTGAGCGCACACATACTTAAATTATTTACCAATAGCTTCGTGTTGGCGTATGCTATTGTCCAGCCAACCTCTCGTTGTCTTGCTTGACTGCGACTTATGACTACTTTTCTACTTGAACTTGACCAACGCACAAAGGATTTTAAATGCAATTTGCTTCTTAGCGTGGTATCAGTGCATGCGAGGGGAGCGTGAGGAAATTTGTTAGGGTTTCCTTGTTAATCAATATTGTTAGAAAGCTTAAAGAATACCTTGAGAATTTAATTAATTTTTTTTAATTAATTTATATTGTTATAAATATGTGTGTATTTTTGATACAAAATAAACAAATTATCTTAACAAAAAGTTTTTTGTACTTAATCACAAATCTGTGCATCCATTAAAATTATTGAATTTTTTTGTCAACCTTTAAAATATTTTGCTAAATTGTATATTTTTTCCTAATTATTTTCGGTTTAACATCAACCCTTCACATCTTTTGTCTACATAATATATATTCATATCTAATCGGCTGAATATATTATTGTCATTACCCTAATATAAATCTTTTTGTCCGCAGGTCTTTAATTTTAGGAATTAAAATAGATAGTTACTTGCGTATATTATTTATATAGTTCCTTCTAAACTAGACGCATTTAGATTAAACGCTTGAAACCTATATAAAATCCTTTCCGTTTATTTATTATACAACCCGTGCCCGGCTAAGGTTAAGCCAAGGTGAAGGTTAACTATACTTTAGCTAGTTTGCGGTTTATAACTGGCAAACTTACCCTCTAAGCTCGTACCCCCTTCATCGGCCTTAGTACGAGTTTTACAGTTTCGACAGCCAATTGATTTTTGTTTGTTAACTTGGATGCACGCAAATCGTTGAGCCTGTGGGAAAAAGCACTTCCTGGTATCCTAGGATCCATTTAGCCTTTGTACACACACTCGCACACACACACACACATATATATATATTCTGCTCTCGCTTTTATGCCTCTACCACAGCCATTGACGACTTTTAGTTCTCTGAGCATGCTGTATTCATTGTCAAGTTCACGTTGGCTGGCCACTTGACTCAAGCATTTCAGTTATGGAACAGCCAATCGATAAAAAACTATTTCCAGCATGTCATGCACGTCTTTTTTCAGAAAAATAAAAAACCTCACGAAAAGGATGCTTGAATGCTATATTATGAGTTTTTATATATCCTTTGTATAACACAAGCTTACAAAATTGAAATGGTAATTTTTTAGAAAATTGGCACTGTGCAAAAAAAAAACCAAATGTATGTATATAATATAGATGATTACATACAAACAATATAAAATTATGTTACATATTTTTTTTAGTTTTAAAAATCTGCACTCAACAGTCAAATTCGTGCTACCAAAGTTAATTATATCAGCTTGCAAGGCAACTGATATTTATAGACATTTTTTTCGTTTTATTTTTTCATGAACACGCGCCAAAACTAAGACCCCTCAATGTAGCCCCAGCACGCCTCTACGATTCCCACTTAATTGCAGTGTCCATAAAATGTGCTCAGTTGTCGGTGTTGTCGGTGTTCTAGCTGTTGTTGTTGTTCTGGTTGTTGTTGCACTTGTGGCCTCTCTTACGCAGGAGTCGCGCACATGTGATTGCATTAATTACGCCCCTGACACGCCCACAAGACAGAGCAAATGCTACCTTCCGCTTTTGTTTTTGGCATTTAAAGCATTTTGTTGATCTGCAACGCACGTTGCACGTTTGTAGTTCTCGAGTTTTAAATTGATTTTGACCGCTGCACAAAAACTTTCCACTTGTTGTTGCACGTGGCACTGAAACCGCAATAGTGTTCCACATATGTGTTTTTTTTGTCTAAGGCTAAATATAGACACGTGCGGCAAGTAGAAATTGGTTATTCAAGTTTAATGTGCCTTATGAAATCTAAAAGAGCTTTGCGTGCACACAGAAGTTGTCTAATTATCTGCTTAATTAAAGAGGAAAAATAAAATGTAAAATATAGAAAACTAACAACGATTTTAATGTTAAGCATGAAATGAAAGTTTTTATATTAAAATATGCAGAAATGTATTTATAATTATATAAACGTATGCCCCAGAACTAACAGACAGATTAACATTAAAGAAAAGTTTAAAAAAATTATCATTATAATTGTTTTTAAAACATTCCCTAACAAGACGAAAACTCTATTCGATATTTCCAGTTTTTTTTTTTTATATTAGCTAAATTCGTTATATTAGCAAAAATTTTCGTATTCAAGACAATTGATTTCGTTTAGTCTGTCCACTCTTGATAAGTCATTCAAATATTTTTCTAAAATCTTGGTCTGTCTCGGGCAGAGCGCCTGCGTCAGCAGCACTTCGAGCAGCGTTGCCGGCAAAATGTGCTTTAACAGCAGCAGAAAACACAACAACAACAGCATTTTTGCCGACTAGTTCAAGTTCAATGCAAAAACCTAGCGAAACAAAACAAAAGCTAACAGCGCCACTTTCTATTGCCAAACAGCAATTGTAACAGCGCTGTAACGCTCGCTCGCTCACTCTTTCTCCCTCTGCTGTAACAGCTGTAAACAAGCGATGCTGCTAACGCCAACGCATATGCATGTTAAAAGCCCTTACAGCTGTAAACAGACGAAGCTGCTGCCGCTAACACTACAGTACGTAACATAATCGTTGTTGGTCGGAACGCCGCGGAGTCAATGCCGACGAGGACTTGGCCGCAGCCGTTTAGTCTGTCGCGACAACTCAAACGATTCGGAAGCGAGCTGCTAAAGTGCTGTTATAGTTCGGATCAGAACCGAAATCAGATTTCGATTGTACATAAATCAAACATTGCATATTGTGTTTGCAAATTGATAGATTTTGGGTGCATACTGTGCGAAGCGTGTAAAATACATAATAAACTAAAATTATATGTTTTTAAAAAATTGTGCTTAAATATGCTTCATTAAAAATAGTAAATAAACGTGCGTCGTTTAAGGACTGTTATTAAAAATATTTTAACTTAAAAAATTAATGGTAAAATAAAACTTTTTATAATTTATACCATTAAATCAAAGAAAAAATTACCAATTTAAATAAAGAAATAGAATAGTTTATAAAACATAAAACTATTCTTAAAATATGAACTCAAGTTTTTAAAAGCTAAAGAAATATTTTAGAGTCATAAAAAGTAAAAATTATATGTAAAAACAATAAAATAATAAAAGTTACAGTGCTTAAAGTTAAAAAGTAAATATATCAATAAAACAAATTAAAGGTAGATTACAAAACTAATATGTATTAATGGTGTTATATAAAATATATTTATCTTAAAACACCGCTAGAATTAGCGTAAAAAAATGGTTTAAAATTTTTTCAATTAAAGCTATATTTAATTTTTTATTTAAATTGAATAAATTCCAACTCTAAAGGCTATTTTTGCCCAAATTTGAAGAGTAAATTGAACGTCTTTACGGCATGGCTCAATCGATTTTTAAAGTCCCTGCATTGTAGCCATCAATTTGTTGTTATCCACTAAATTGAATTGAATAACGATTGATTGTTTTGCGTTGTCAGTTAGCAAACAAAACGAATTAAGTGGATCACAAAGCTGTAAAAACGATATCAAATAAATGGTGTGAAATAGTATGTTGCCTTCCGGCAGCGAGTATATTTTTCGTTACAAAGAATTGGAGGCGTGGGTGCTCAGAAATATTGTAGCTAATATTTTGCTATTGTCTATTTTTAGAAATGAATCGTGCAAAATAACAACTTGTGTTACATGGCGTATGCGCAGTTTTTGTAGCTGAACAAAACATGCAGCCATTTACAGAATATGGAATTACTATAAAATCACAAAAATTAATAAACTTTAATTGTTTTAACGTGTTTATTATATGCTTATGTATGCGAAACAGAGCATTTCAATTGTAGCTGCTTAAAATAGCTCCAAGAAAAAAGGTACAGAGTGAAATACAAAGCCCCCCAAAAAAAAGGGCAGAAGTAAAAGTCGCCCAAAAACTTTAAAGTTTGCCCATGCATAAAACTTGCCAGTCAAATTGCGCTTTGCAAGTTAAATCATGTGAAAAACTAGTTATTCCGAGTGCAGAGCTCAAAAAAAAAAATCGAGAAAAGAAAAACGCAAATCAAGAAGCTGCCATGCAGGACAATGCTGCAACTAGAAAAAAAAATCTGTAGAATTTAACCCAAACGAAAAGTGAAGAAAAAGGACAAACGAGTGCGAAACCCACTCGAAAAGCAACTTTAGCGTGCAACTGCAACTGTCAGCAGCAGCAGCAGCAGCAGCAGCAGCTGAAGAACAATATAAAAAAATAAAACAAAAAAAGAAATACAACACTTGGTAAGTAAAAATCTCCAAATTCATGCATCTCACAAAATTTTTCAATTAAATTTTGCGCAATTTATGAACTTGAGTACCTTCAATTTGCTGTGGCTTACGTGTAGATGCGAAAAGCTGGCACATGATTTTCAATTGCTTCAGCGAACATTTCGAGCTTATTTTGTCTGCCGCTCATACAGCAAACAATGACCCTTGGTGGTGTGGTGCAAAGAGAGAGGTAGAAAAAGGGGGGGGGGGGGTGGGTAGGGTTATGTACCTGTGGCAGGTGCAACTTCTTTCGAATTGCTGTGCGTGTTTAGATTAGCAAATTCTGTTGCTATTTGCGTAACATAGGTAAGGACAAAAAAGTCAGAACAAGCGGCATTCATTAAAGCCCATTCGTTTGCTACCAAATCTATCTGTTTACGTTTGCTAATACCCTGTTTTCGAATGCAAGCTTGGGGCATATTGATTTTGTGCTAAGTCTGTCTGTCTGCCACAAGGCTAGAATTTGATTAGGGTTAAGAAAGGGTTGGGAGGTTGAATGGTTTAAGACTTTAATATTAATATGGCCCCTTGAATAATATTGTATCTCAGGCAATTATCTTTGACTTGAAAGCTAAGTATAAAGAAAATATTTAATATTCTTATATGTTCGGAATAAAAAACAAAGCATAAAATGTAAACAAAAATAATTGTGAAAATTTGCTACAACCAATTTACTTGCCAAATTATAAAATTTAAACTGAAACTTTAAGTCATCGGTTATAATTCAAAGAACTTTCTCGGATTATAAAACATTATTTTGATTATTATTCAATTAACTATCTTTTGGTTTTTAGTTTTTAGCGGTACTTCGTATGCGCGCCATGGTGGAATAGTTAATGTGCAGAAAAAAATCTAGATAGGGTTAAGAAACTATATCCAACACAAGAAATTTATCATTTAAAAATTTTAAAATCATTTTAATTGACCCAGTTTGTACACACTTATATGGATACAAAGTCCTTCCTTCCCGTTTAACATTTTCTTTCAGAACCCAGCTTATAATATTTATTGCTGCCCTGTTAGGGTATGTGGTCTTAATCAACCTTTTATACTTATAACCAATTGCATAAGAAGCTTGTGCTAGGAAATTGGAGCTGAAAGGAAAAATTCCAAGAATTCGCTATAATCGAGCCGCATGCGACTTTTCTGAGAACTCTAGAAACAGTCTGAATTTTGTTGTACGCTGCTTTTGAAAAATTCATTAAGTGCTTAACTCAAATTAAGACATTTAAGATCTATAGCTGCCTAAGTATCAGCATCCACTTTTAGGTCAAGTTGAAAAAGATCTTAATATAGGCGCAATGAAAAAATAAATCAAACTCAAGCCTATTTCTAAGTGATTTCAACTGAACGCAATTCGAAACCGCAACGCGCAAATTTCCGGCAATTTCCTGGCAATGCCAAGGCTTGGCGGCGAGCCTCCGCCCAGCTGCTGCTCCTGCAGCTGCCTCACCCCCATCCGCACCCCCTACACCCACAGCTTGATTTAGGCATTAAGCTTGGCATCATCGGGTGTTCAGTGGATAAAACCAAATGTAGCGTGGATGACAAACATTGTCAACTTTGCTAGTTGCTTCTATTCACACGCTCTAATTGGATTTCCATCACAATTCTCTCGAGTAATGATTTTAATGAAGCTCGTTCAGCTTCCACTTATTCGCACCCTCTTCCAATGGGCCGACCTGCTTCCAGTAATTGACTACTCATTCATTATAGATTGCGGTTCACAATTTTTGCGCATTTCCTCGGGCAGCGAAATCAAATTGCCATCGTTTCCGCGAATCGAGTTGCTTGTTTTAATTTGCTCAAACAAATTCTAATTAATTTTCAACATAGCTTCGATTTTAATTATGCAATTAAATTCGGAGCTTATTTTTGGAGGGATAAGCTTTAACTGGTCGAGGGGAAACATACTTAGAGGATGAGAACAGATTAATAAAGCTTATATGAGCATTAGCAGTATTATATTTTCAAAGTCTACATCCATATAGCCTCAAGGTGTTGCAATACGAAAACTACATAGGTTGAAATAAAAGTATAATCTCCATATATAAAACTGTTTGTCCTGACTGACCGACTGATTGGTGATCAATGCACAGCCCAAACCGTAAGCGCTTGGAAGCTGTTCCCTTAGTTACCTTATGTGATGAAGGTGCTCGTCAAGCCGTGCTTTCGGAAAATTCCACCTTAATGTGTAGGAAAATCGCGAAAAGCGTTTGTATGAAACTTTGTTGCTTACAATCCTATCGGCCTCAAACTTATTTTCAAAGATCTCTGTACAAATTCACACTTTTCGAAAAATCCATTCCTCCTCAGCGAAAATGGGGGTCAAAGATTTGGTGGGTGAGGTTTCGCTCTCAAATTCATTTCCAAAGATCTATGTGAAAAATCATTTGAGACGTGTTTCACGTTTTTCCCAAAATCAAAGCATCCTCGGTATAAAGTGCGATTCTTAGATTTTTTGGTGAAGTTTTTAGTTTTGTCCGATTTGTTTCAAACATATTTTAAATACCCTACATAAAAACTTAATGAATACGTGTTTTTGCGATTTTAAAAACTCCATCAGCAACTTTTGTTGTTTATTACCAGTTTCAAACTCATTTTCAAATATCTTTTAGCGAATTTATTTGGTACGTTTTTCGCAAAATTCACCGCTTTTGGATGGAAAATGCGAGTCAAAGGTTTATAAAACAAAAGTTTATTTTTCGGTTTCAAGTTTCTCACCACAATATGGGCGGAAGCCGTTGATTCCTACATTTGGTTCCTTATTCGATGCACTTTAAACTTTTTGTTTTAATCAAAGATGAGATCTAGATGTTTCGGGTATATGTAAATTTTCCACAGTCGTGGAAATGTAATATCTAAAATTATTAGCACCAAAATTTTTACGAGCAAGGCCGGGCAATAGCCGCTAGTAAATGAATATAATACAGAAAAGGCTTTCAAACAACAAAGCTTGCTGTTCTAAGCAGACGCACACTGCTGAGCACAAAGTTCGGGGATCGAATCCCTGAGAACACGAAAGACAGATTATTTTCAGGGCAAACACATAGAGGTGGGGTGATGATTCGGTCTGGGCGATTGCAAATATTTATTAGACTTGTATTCGATTTAATTAAGTAGTATATGTACTAAAAACTTCATGTCTAATAGCCCGGAATTGATAGTTATAATAGAGTAAATAATATACTGTAATATGAGGGTGCTGCAACTCCGACAAGGAATGTCATATTGTAGCATACCTTTGGGCATAGCGGAGCGATATTCAGCCACAAAATAGTCAAGCTGGTCTGCTGCAGAACAAAAGCAAATGCCTTTTATTGCCACAGAAATCCGGGCCAGTGAACGGAAGCGGAAATGCGTTGTTATGGCTGCACTGGCGCATATTGACTTGTGTGGCTGCCATAGACTAAAAAATGGTAGCTTAGAGCTTGGGAGCGCTCAGTCAGCTCGCCGCTTTGTAGGCAGCTTTGCTTTTATTTTGTCAGCTCAAGTTACAAAAATATTTTTCAGTAAATTTATCTTACTGCCCCACAACCCAAAGAACACTCCACAGGCAACAACAACGTTGCAATAACTTTGGGCGCGGTCTGTGGTGGGGGGTATTAGATGCCAAAGGGCAGAATAAGTGCCAACAAGTGCCCTAACCTCAGGTAAAGCATTGCTTCGCTTTGGCTCTGCCGCACTCGGCGAGTGGCCTTTGCAATCGAGTGAGAGTAATATTAAAAATTCCACAAGTGCAGCAAAGCTTGTATCGCAGGTACAATTTCCTGTTGACGTTACGATTCTATGGAATTTTCTATAAGGTGTATTCCTTTACGCTTGTATAAGCAGCTTGTCAATTGCGGTTCTTTTTTAGTTGAAAAAAATAATTTTAAAAACGATTGAAATAAAATAAATATTTGATTTGATAATTTTAATTGAATATACAATTAGAACATAAAAAAAACGGCAATTTAATAAATAATAATAAATAAATGCTTATAAAAAAGTGTAAAAAATTTCAAAAACAAAAATAATTTATGGACAATTAATATTGTATTTTGATTAAATAGATATTAAAATATTTTAAATCAATAATTACTTAATTTTATATTTAAAATATTTAAAATTAGCAGGAGTTTTTCAATTGATTAGGACTTTTAATCCTGCAAATATAAATATATATATGTATATATTTATTCATATACAAATATAAATAAATAAATATTAGTGTAATCAACTAAACATATTTATTCCTGAAAAGTATATACCTAGTCTGGGCCCTGTTTAGCTCATGTTTATAAAGGAATATTATTTTTGAAATTAAGTTATTTTTATTTGCATTCATAGCCAAAAATTATATATGCATCTAAAAAAAAGTATACATCATATATTTTTAGTACATCGTACATGTTTAGTATTCAAAGTTTTTCCCTTCTCTGGTCTTTTACAACCCTTTTACCTGTTAACCTGCTAAGCTACTTTTAGCTTTTTTTTTGGCATACAAATGTGTTAGGCTAGAATAACATTTTCATACCAATTTACTTGAGGCTGTTGCATATTTCCGTCGCAAATTATGCGCATGGGAGAAGTTTATGTGCCTATGCATAAGCCTCCAAGGAGGGCAATACAAATGTATCGTTGTGATTTGCATATATTTTGCATGGAAATTGTGGGTGTGATACGATCTACTCTAGCACGTTCACATGCCTTTCTCTCACAACCGCTTCTGGGGGCTCACCTGTGCACCTTAATCTATTCTAATTATTCGCACCCATTCCCATTTGGGCGATGTGACTTTTGGTCTTGTTTGGCTCAATTCAACCGAATCCAACGATTCAGAGTTCAAAAGCCATCGATTTATCATATTTAGTTGCTTTTCTTCTTGTCTGTTTGTATAATGACCCAAATAAACATTCATTTTTTTTGTGTTCTGGCCGAGGTCCTTAGCCAGAGTGCCTCAGTTTATGCCATGTCTTGCTGCTACTCGC